TTTGGAGGCGTGTCTTCGTTGTCGGCTCTTTATGCCTTGCCCTTGCTGAGGTGTCAGAGAAGCAGCAATGCCTGGCTCGGAAGCGTCCAGGGCATTTATAGGAGTTTCTAGTCGGCCGAAACTGCCTTTGACAGTTTGATGCGGTTATTTTTGTCTGCTCTCAAGAAAGCTTCGTTGGGGTTTTGTCTGACATTTTGAAAATATCCTTTGCCTTGTGTCAAAGAGGCACCTTTCAAGGCGTGCAAGCCTTGTGACACCATCTGTTTCAAAACGTTGGCTAATCGACTCCTCGGTACACTGGATACATAACATACTAGTCATTAAAGAATCGTTTTCATTAAGGGGTTTCACCGTAACTTTCCCTTTGGAGAATGGAATATTTTGTCTAAGATCTCCTTTAAGCAACGTTGACACTGCCAAAATACGACTTACTGACGAGTAAATAGAGAGGATTTACAAATTCGCGATGAACGTGATACGTGTTTCTACTTTCCTCGTCAGCACTTCTCTCCATACAAAATGCCAAATAAACGAGGATTAAAATTGATATACAACGTTTTGGGCATGACAAATTTCATCAATAGGCGATAAGACACTTTATGGTACTAGATCTTAGCACTTCATTTGGTTTTCTCCAGGGCTTTGCCAAACTTGGTGTCAAAAATAGGGGCAATCTTGTTAAAAAAATGTTGACCATTAAAATAATAGCCTGCCGAAATTTTTATCTCGTACTTGCCTAAGGCAGCATTGGTTATTGTTGGCTTAAGATTTCGTAAAAACGAGGATCGCTGGCATCCAACTGTTCTTGCACTTGGTCGCTAATGATTTTGACCCAAACTTCATTTGATTTTCTGTTAAGTTTAGGACTTGTTATGATAAATCATTTCGACCAAAGCCACTTCTCGATGGGTTTCGTGATCCAATTTGATATCCTGCATTAATTTGGCCATGAAACAGCATAAAGAATTGTGGGGAAATATATGGAACTGTCACTGGGTAAAGTTAAGTAAAATTGGTGATTCATAATTCCAGAGTTCTGCTGTCCGATGGGTCGACGGAGGTCAAAGGAATGTCTAAAAGTGGATTGCTGCTTTGGTGGTAACGTTTGGGAGGGTGACTGACATTGGACGTAAGACTCCTCTTGTGACCGTTAGACTATTTCAGGGAAGGATTGTGGAGAATGTAACCGATGCAACTGCTCAGTAAAATGGTCTACATTTGTTTGTCTCCTTGTTGCAAACACAAATTGGCAATGACAGCACCGATGACACAATACACTACATAGATTTAGTAGGAAATGACACTTTGTGTTTTAGGCGCACGTTCTCCACGCCAAATCCGCAAGGGTTACTTTTAAATTTGTAGATCTTGCATAGAAGAACTGGGTAAAGGAGTGTAACAAGATAACAAAGTTTGGGATTTTCGGATTACCGACAAAATACCATTGATGATAATGCAATACGATATTTAATGTTATATGAAAATAAGAAATGAAGTATGATAGACACGTGCGTGCATGGGTCAAACAATTAGACTAATCAACATAATTAGCACGATCTTACTAATGCAACAAAAACAAATGCAAACACATTAACATATACGGTACCATGACAAATAAAGAACAAACGATTCATGGTATATCACAAAATGAAAATATGATCTTCAAAATAGCAAAACAAATGTTTTGCTCAAAACAACGAATTGATAGTTTTACTCACATTAGCAAAATAAATGTTTTGCTCAAAATAACGAATTGCTAGTCTTACTGACAATAGCAAAACAAATGTTTCGCTCAAAATAACGAATTGATAGTTTTACTGACAATAGTAAAACAAATGTTTCGCTCAGAATAGCGAATTGATATTCTTGCTCACAATAGTAAAACACTGGGTATTACAAGACCCCTGCAATAGCCCACGGCCAAAATATTATATGTCTGGAACAATGGGAGTTCTCCCTTAACTCTTTGCTACCAGTTCCACTGGCCAAACAAGCAAAGATTATTCGTAGTCACCCGACTACCATGGATTCCTGGGTTAGACAATTAGCGCCCACCACCTTGGTCTGCAACACCTGATCACCCTCATCCCGTTTTGCATAGATCTCTCAAAACATCGTTCGAATATTCGAAGCACGCGAAAAACGCACAGCACAGCTCAGCACTGCACACTCAGCTCTACACAGCACGCGAAGCTCTACACAACATACACAGCATACGTACAGCTGAAAATACATCTAATACCATGTACTACGCATGACACTGGTATATACGAAAATACATAACTACGGTATATACGGTAAGTTATATACATTTTATCAGTCTTACATTATAAAACAACAAACAGGTTCAGAAGTAAATTGGAGAATTATACAATTCATAATGCACTAAACGGCTATTCACTAAATGCAATCTTGTAGAGTTTTTGCTAAATCACAGATAAGAATGGAAAATATTAGCATTATACTAAGCTAGTCGTAGCGACAGAAATACGAAATTAAACATGATAATACATTGGCTATAACTTACAATACATACATACAAAAACAAATAAATTACATACCTCGACAGCTGGAGATATGTAGGTCTCAAAGTAGAACTCCGATTGACAAAACGGTCCGTAATGTAAGGATTTGATTTTAGTGTGATGCATTTATACAAAGGAAATGTAGCTCGATATAGTCTGTGCAATTCATGTGATCAGATTTTTCGAATTTTTTCATCTAAAGCACTCCGCAAGTGCAGAGCAGGATAAAACGAACTCACTGTTTCGAAATAATGTAGAATATACATTGATCACCCATGCGTATCGTACACGAAAAACGAAACCAGAGTACATTTACTTAATAAAGAAAATAAATTATACAATTCCGTGATAGGGAGTGGCCATTGCTGTGGTGGTTGAGGCTGTGTTGATGAAGGGCATCGTGGTCACTTCTTTTCTTGTTGATGACATGCGAATCGTCGATCCAAGAAGCAAAACTCGGCGGATACCATTTCCAATGTACTTCAATGTTCTTCAATCGAAAATGATTTCGAGCTCGTACACCTCGTCTTCTTTTTTGTCAAGCGTTATAACATTTCATTTTGACTTGTGTCAAACGAGGAGTAGACATCATTTTTATATCCCAAGCTTTAAGTTCTTCTCGTTGGGGTGTGAAGGAAGAGGTCAACAATGATGCTGCAATCTTACTAGGAATGGGAGCTGCTGACAGTGTTTTAAAGACCTCTTGCATCTCTTCTACCTCTTGCATCCATGAGGGTGCATCTGTCTTGTTTACTGGTGTGGTGGTGATGATTTTTCATCAGGGTCTTAGAATCTTTGTCACTCGAGTTGCTTTGTCTAAAGTTTTCTGGTAAAAGAATTTAAGTGGTTGCAACTCTTGAACATACCGTTGCGATTATTGTTTTTGACAAATCTCTACGATCCATCAACGATTGCAATTTGTGTTGTAATTGGGACATCTCGGTCAAATGAGGATTGGGAGGTAAATGTGGGGTTCATTGTTCTTGCCAAAAAATGGAATTCCATCCATCGTTTGTAAGGCACTAGTCAGTTTTTATCCTTCCATCAGATTCCAAAGGTCACGTCTAAGATCTGTTGAGTCCAGAGACCCCTTTCATCTTCTTGATCCTTTTTATCTTTGAGCCATTTTGTGAAGCAATAGCTCTTACGAGTCCTGTAATCAGTGTTGCCAATGTGGCTTAGAGTATGAGTGGTAACAACAGGTGCAAAAATCTTCCGCTTTGTACCAACATTTTTTTCTTTTCATGGAGGGTATTTTCTTTCGGACCTTTTGGCGAAGAACGTGTCGATGCTTGTCTAATCTTTCTGAAATTAAAACAAAGGTAATGCTCCTTTCAAGACATTCTCACACGGTATAGATGACGTCTTTGGAGGTGGTTTGAATGAATTGTTTCGCACGGGTGAAGGGGATTTGCACAGGATGGACATCAGGTGAGGAAGGTAGAAGAAAGATATTTTTTTGGAGGGACATCTATTTTAGTTCTACCATACACACAAAATACACTGACGTCGATGACTTGGCAAACGCTCTCTTTTATTTTTTGGAATAAGTAGAAAGGTGTGTAACCAGTCTTTTTGACGAATTTTTTGACTTTCGCTTCGCCAAATAGGTGACTACTTTTTTTGATATATCGCCAAACAAAGCACCCCCCACCTTTGATTGCTCCTCTTTTTCTTTGGATTATGCTTGGCTAAGCGCTTTTTTGGATGCTGAGTCAAACAACGAGGCCATCCTTTTCTTTATCCTTTACCTTTTTGGAGAGGAGAATGACGATGATGGTAGTGTGCACTTCTTTTAGAGACATCGATTGGCGTTCAGGGGCACAAAAATACTGATAACCATCGTTTTCCTCATTTTTTTTTTTAAAGTGGAATATGTTGCTACTGATTGTCTCAACCTCTTGACAAACTTGATGTCAGGCATCACGCGTGGTGGAGGCGATCGCAACGTAGTAAATCGGGAGAGTTCTTGCTTGGTTAAATCCAGTAAATTCTGTAACATGCATGATCTCTCTTGAACTTTGATAATGATGGCAGATTCTTAGTTAGCAGCTGCCTCTGGGGATAAAGTTGTGCAGGGTGTCAACACTGGAGGTTCCTGGATACATGGTTTTCCATTTTTTTTTTCATCAAATGGGGAAAAACGTGTGAAATTGAGTTTGGCTGGCATGACTAGTAACGGGAAAGTGGAAAAATCTGAGGTTACTGGAGACTCTGCAAGTTGTGGTTTAGGGATGTAAGGTTGCGCCCTCCTCGCCGATGTGATGTGATTATGATCTTTAATGTAGCTACGATGTCTGCAGTGAGGCAGTTTATAGTGATGTCTAGCACTGGGGCATCGTGCCGCAGACATGTAGCATGATGTCCCACCCAGTCACATTATCCTGACACTAGGCTGACCAGTCCTAATACTAACCTCTTAATACTGAGCGTCAAGTGAGGCAGATGTTAGTACCATTTTGAAAGTCTTTGGTATGACTCGACTGAGGATCGAACCCACAATCTCTCGCATTCAAGGTGGATGCTCTAACCACTAGGCCACCGGAGTGGTGTGCTCTCGCAGAAGTGCGACTCTTGAAAGCAGAAGCTGTTTTTTGGGGGGGGATGGGGTCATTACTGGGGTCTTTTACTTTTTCTGAGGACTTTTCTTTTTCTCAGGTTGTGACTTGGTCTTGACACCTTTGTTTTTTTTTTCTTCCGGGTACGTTTGAGTCAGCAAGTGGCATTTCTCTTGGAGATCTTTTTGGGGGCATTGGGATTACACCTCCTAGAGAACCGCTACCTAAACATTTCAAAATGATTTGCTTTTTGGTTTGAGTGTCTATGCTGGGATCTGCCAGTTGTGACAAGGCTACTTTGTTTCTCTCAAAAAAAGCATTTGGTTCATGTGGAATGTAAATGATGCCATACTGTTGTGCTGTCACTGCAAAGCATCGTATGACTCCTCTGAGACTGGCTTCTAAGACTCGAGCACGTATTTGTCGATTTTTTTGTGATTGATGCTGTACAAAGCACGAATCATTTTGACGGGAAGATGAGACTGAAGTGACGATGTGAGACAAACCAAAAGTGTCTGAGTTTTTGTTTTATTTTTTTTAAGTCGATGGTTACGAAATCGCAAATAATTGGGGGTTGGGGTTTTTAAATCCACGAGTAAATACGCGTGAGGAGTTTGAGTGCCACCATCGTTCACATGTATCAGCAAAGGAGTTCCTAACAGTTTGATTAACACTTGCACTTGCAATTTATCTCTAAGGCTATTAAAAAAGACCACTTAATGAACATTGACTCTGATTGTGTGATGGGATTTACATAGTTGAAACAAATTATGGGTGATGTAAATTACACTGGCATTACGATGATGCCATTTGCAAATAAACCAGTTGAATTTCTGCTTCATCTTTTTCTAACATATCCAAGATGACCATATGAGTTTGACTGGGGTCAGACAGGATTCAGTCATCCTCGCCAGGAATGCCTTCCACAAACACGATAAAATGACCTAGACTTTCTCGACAGGGGGCTGTACGCCGATTGCCGCTCTTTGCCACATGGTACGTTGAGGTAAACGATCAATCAAAGGATGTTTATGTTCGGTCAAATGTTTGACAAATTCATTTGTGCCTGAACCGCTTGGTTCAACAATTAACAATTAGCATGTAAAATGGATGGCAAAGATACAAGGCCTTCTAAATGGTATGATCCTAGATTTCGTCGATGACACTGAAAGTATAGGAGGAGGGAGCAGAGACAGAAGAGGTAGCCATAGTGCAGGGAATGTCAATGTTGAAATGAAGACCGACAAAACAAGAGTTTCTCCACTCTTTTTCATGCACATTTAATTAAAAAAGTTTTAAAATGAAACACTAACGACAAAAAGGCATAAGAACCAAATAGTTAAAATACACATCAAAACGATTAAAGTGGAATATAAATAAGTCCCTGAACAACAGTTTTGGTGATGATGGTGTGTCACACAGTGGTTCTCACGGAATGGTCTTTTGGGGACGTCCATGTCAATGATGGTCCTGTCCTGAATGTGTCAGATTCTTCTTCTGGTACCGTGACTAACACAGGTCTAAATGTCACTTTTTCACTTGACACTTTAATTTCCCTTTTTCCTTTGAATGCATATTACAAATCTTGGACAATGTAAGCCACTGTTTTTGTTCAAGCCTCGCAACCCAAACTTGTCCAGTCACGCACATCTTTCCAGTGAGAGTGTAACCAACAAGCTATACACACATCTTCATAAGCATCTGGAGTGGCTAAAATTTCAAAGAAACATTTCTTAAAACAGAGGTTGAGAAGTTTGCAGATGAAAGTGCGAGGCTTTGAACCAAGTGAGTTTCTCGTGTATACTGTATTTAAAAGAAAAAAAACTTGTTTTTGATGGCACCTCACAATACAGATCGTATAGAGCTCATAAGGAATCGGCTGGTAAATGACACACTGGTAAACACTGCAACTCAAGCACTCGTCTTTATCACCATCACTGAAGTAGAATCCAGCTCTGGCTAATTGTTCAGGGGTAGGTCCTCCCAGATATTTAGGCCACTTTCCTTAGAAGGCTTGGAAACGACTTTCGCATCCATCAGGTTTAACACGCACAGCATCACCTTCTATGGTAGGTACTGTAGTAGTAGTAGTAGTAATAGTAAAGTTCTCATGATGTGGCACTGAATCACTGACGTCATAGCGTATGACATCCCTGCCATGGCAAGTTTCTTAGGAGGATTCATCTTTCCTGCTTGGTGTTTGTAGTTACAATGAACTATCAGTCTTGGACGTTTTCCCTTTGTACACTAGTTGTAATGAAGTCTCATGCTTGTAAATCGTTCCTTTTTATGCCTAGTTTGGAAGACTTTCTTTTATCTTCCTGGATAATGGTTCTACATTCTCTAAGGTACTGTCATAAATGTACCATAGTGTGATGGTTGGAAAGGCTATAGAAAGGTAAGGACAGTGTGTAGTA